TTATTATTATTATTATTATTATTATTATTATTATTATTATTATTATTATTTTTGTCGATGTTTGCCTTTACTTGTTATGTATATATGTGTGCACATATATATTGGTTGTTACGTATGCGTACGTTTGTTTATTTAATTTTTTTTTTTTTTTAGATGGCCCCAGGTTCAGTCAAGGAGGTTCTGGAGGAGGGTAGAGGTGAGGGAGGATCTAGAAGGCGACCGGTTTCGGACACTGCTGTCGGCGGTATCTGAAGTTTGTGGGGGGGGGGGGGGGGTGATCCCGGCGGATCGTTTCCTGAAGGCGGTTTTAGATTTTATTGCTTTCCTGGGGCCCTGTTATCGGCTGACCACGGTAGGTGGTTTTGATTGATTTTGTATTGTGTTTATTGTTAGCTTAAGTGTTTTTTTTCTAGACAAAGAGGTTATGGAGGCAACTCCTGATTTTCAAGGGGTTTTTGGCGGCGGTGGAGAGGAGAGAGGACCTAGGGTTTTTGGAGGATGTCTCCCCGCGGGTTCTAGGGGTTATTCTGGCGGTTGGCCAGGGCCCGTTATTTGGTTGACGTCTGACTCCTCTGTATCTGTCTAATAAAGCTAGTTTATTGATACGTGTCTGACCTTTTTATTTTTAGATATAGTTGATGACCACGGCGGATGGAGTGTCCTGTTTGGGGATTGTGGTGGCGTGTTTGGGCTTGGTCTTCCCTTTCTTTTTCGGCGCTGGAGTTGGTACTGGGTAGCTGGGCATTCCGGCCATAGTTATTGCTACTGAGGTTCCATCTAACTTTTGGATTTCTGGGGCTCCGATTTCGACTCTTCGTTGGAATTTTCTTTGCTTCTTCTTGGACTTCTGGCAGCGGGAGAAGCAAGACAGAATGCTTATGATGGACAGCCCTTGCCTGTATGCGCAGATGCTGGCTGCGACCATGGATTTGGAGATGATGGCGGTAATGATGCCATTTGTTGCAGTGAGGATTCTGTGGTGATATTCTTCTTGGTGGTGGAGACCTATTTCTTCAGCCTCGTCTAAGGTGTGATTCGTCGAATTCCTCGTTTTCATCTGGTGTGGATAAGATATGTTGTTTTATTTGGCTCAATGGATATATGGGTTTTGGTTTTTCATTTAGTATTGATGCCATTGCTGAGATATTTATTGTTTTAGGTAACCCCAATATCATGGGAAGTTGGGTCTTGATTAGTCCTGCACCTTCGATGACGGCTCTGGTGGTTTCTGCCCTGCAATTTGGATTTAGGTGGATTATTCCTGTGCCGTTTATTGTTAGGCTGGTTACTTGCTGGTTTGTGCCAGTTATTTCTAGTGTCTCTGGTTGTGTGGTGGCATAGAGCCATCCGTCGGTGTTGGTTAATTTGGTCCATTGTGTGTCTTGATTGTTGATGACTCTGATGTTGCAGTTCTGATAGATGGTGGAGTCGACTTGGGGGTCGGTTTTTGTTAGTAGGCGGTATTAGCAGCTATTTTTTTCATTGGATTTCCTCAGGGGGAGGTTTCTGGGGCAAGCTAGACAGTTCTCCAGTGGAATCCAGGTTTGCAGGTATTCTCGGTTCATTTGGCTGTATTTGTTGATGAATTTTGAGGTTGCGATGTATTCGTTTTGTGGTTCTACGTATGCTGTGTGTTCTGTTCCCGTGGATTCTCCGCGGAATTTTGCAGGGGATTATTTTGTAGAGTTCCGTTAGATCTCTGCTTAGTAGTGGGATGTCGAGGATTATGAGGAAGGAGCTGTTGTTAAAACCGGTGGGCATGTCATTGATTTGGCTTCGGATGGTCAAATCGGTCTTTTCCGGAGATGTTGGAAAGATGCTGTCGGTGATGACTTTTCCAATTTCCTCTATGGCCTTGTCCAATTTTTGGTTATTTATTAGGATGGGGTTTAGTTTTCCGTGTTTTGCGTCTTCTATGGCATGGAGGATGCTGTGGGCCGTTTCTAGATACTTTCCGGCGGCATGTTGTATTTCTCTAGCTGTTTCGTCGAGGCTAGCGATGTATTCTACTTGGGTCAGCTTGTCAGACAGTAGGTTGGTGTTGGAGGCTATGAGGTTTATTCTGTCTGTAGCCTTTCTAATTTTCTCGTAGTTCAGTTCGTGTTCCTTCTTCATGGCGTTGATTTCGGCTTGGATGATGTGAGTCGAATTTCCGATTAAATTGGTCATTTGTTGTTGGTCTTGATAGAGTCTATCAATTTCTTTGGTGATGTGTTCCTGATCATTGTAGTCCATGGTGCCGAAGAGGGATCTTGATATGGTGCCTACAAATCCTAGTAAAGGGGATCTGCTATATCGTCTTTTGGGGTTCTGTTCTGGACTTATCCAGATTCTTTTCAGATATTTCTGTATTGTTTGGAGTGTCGTATTGAACTGTTCCATGATGGGTATGCCTAGTACTTTATCGCAGATCTGCTTGCCCTGGTGTTTGTTGCATTCGGTTTGATATTTTTCTATTGTTTGCATCCCGGGCAGTGGTTGTCCTAGGAGGTTGTGCATGTCTACTGTATGCATCAGTCGCCATTTTTTATTGATTGTTCTGATTTGGTCGATTTCCTCATAATAGCGTCCGGGGTTGTGGTCTATAGTTTGGTGTTGATAAATTTGATCAGGTGTTAAATCTGTTTAGGCCTTGGTTACCCAGACGGTGGTCCATAGGATGATGATAGCTCTCATGGTATTGTGTTCTATAAGTTGGAGAATTTTTGTTTGAGTTTGGTGTGCTTCATTTTTTTTTTCTGGCAGGTATCGGCTTTGGTCTAGTTAGGTTCGGTGGGTATTTTTTCTGAACCTATTTTTGCTAGTTCGTCCGCTTTTTCGTTCCCGTATATTCCCTGGTGTCCTGGGATATATTCAAATTGGACGTCGATTTTTTGGGTGAGTTCATCAAGCTGTTTCAGGAGTGTTTGATTTACGACGGGTTTGGATTTAGCATTTAGCCAGCCATTTCATTTCCATTTCTTTATGTGTTCACTCATGCAGCTGGTGAGGTATTTGGAATCGGTGATTATTCTTATTCTTGAAATGTCGTGGCGAATACATATTTGACATGCTTCGATGGCGGCCGCAGTTTCGGCGGTGATATTGGTGGCCCGTGTACCTTGCAGAGTTTTATAGGTGTTGAGGGGGTGGTTGTCCGCAAACCACACTCCTATTCCTGCTTTGGCATCGATTGAGCCATTGAAAGAGCAGGAGCCATCGACGTAAACTGGCGTGCGACCTGATCCGTCGGTACTCATGTCTCTGGAATGGTTTTGCTTTTGGTGGTTTGTAGGGTCGGGATGGTTTGTTTGGCAGCACTGGAATCGGTATCGACTCATTCTGCGCAGGGTTTCACCTTATTTGGGTGTTTCATGAAGTGATGTCCGTCTTCACTTTCTAGGTACACGTTTTCTATTTCTGTGATGTTGACGATCTTCTAGGGTCCAGTGTAGGCCTGATCCAATATTCCGATCTTGGGTTCCTTCTCGACGTAGATAAATTGCCCTATTTTGAAGTCTATTGGTCTCGGTCGTAAAGGCTTTTGGAATGTAGTTTGGCCTTTTCCAGTTGGTCGAAGGCGAGATGGTGAATTTTCTCCAATTTGTTAATTAGTTCTACCATGTAATCGTTGTAGGTATAGATTGACTCATCTTCGTCGGTAACGTTGGAGGGGAGAGCTGCCCTTTTTCCGTACAGGACTTCGAATGGTGTGAAATTTGTTGAGCTATGTACCGTGGTGTTGTACGATAGCATGGCGAAGGGGAGTAGCTCGTCCCGGTCGGTGAATTCGTCGGTAAAGGTCTTCAGATATTCGGCTAGTACGTGATGACTTCTTTCAACGGCTCCATTTGACTGAGGTCTGTATGCAGATGTCGTTATATTGTTGAATCTCAGGACCTTTCCCAGTTGATAGAACAATTTGCTGAGGAAGCTGGTCCCTTTATCTGAGAGGATTATCTTGGGGCATCCCTACAGGGCTACATACTTGGTTGCTAGTGCATGAGCGATAGTGTGAGCCTTGATATCCTTAAGTGGTACAGCGGTGGGATGCTTGGAAAAGTTATCCTGTTTTGTCAGGATATGGCAGTGACCCATACGTGAAGCTGGGAGGGGGCTTACGGTATCGATAGAGATTCTCTAGAAGCATTCCCTAGGTGTTTCGGTGATGAGCATGGGCCGTCGGAATTTCACCCTTCGAATCTTTTCTAGTTGACAGGTTCGGCAGAGTTTGATGAATCTCTCTATTTCCTGTTTCATCCCGGGCCAGTAGAACCTTTCTCTTACTCGGTTGAAGGTTTTCACAATCCCTTTGTGTCCTCCGGGAAGACTTGCATGGCATTCCTTAATGATTTCTGGTCTTAGGGCTGCTGGAGGCATCCGGATTCCCCCATGGCACAGGGTTACAGTGGCTGGGTGGAATTGAAATTCTTTGTCCAGGAAGTTTCGGATTCTGATATCGATATCTATTTCATCACCCTGGGATGCCAATTTTATTTCAGTGATTTTGTATTTTTCCATGGCGGTTTTGAAATTTTTCAGGCAGAGTTTTAGTATCCGGTTGTTTACTTTTTCGAAGTGCCATTGCTTTGCAATGAGGGTAAATGTTCGGAATTTTCCGCACTTCCTGACGATGACTTGACCTAGTTTTGGATTGAACTTACGTATTTCCTCCAGGTCTATCAGATTGAGGTCCCTTAAAAGTTTGGTGTTTTGCTTTTTGATCTCTCCATCTGCTGCGAGGAAATGAGCAATGTTTCCCCTGGTAAATGTTAGTCCATCTCGGGTTTCTTTGATGTTGCTCGCAGGCTGGTAGTCACTTTGCGGTATAATGATCTTGTCGTCCATAGTTTCCTAATTTGGTTTGTTTTGAGATATTTCTTGTTGGGTCTGTATGGAACCATGCTCTTCGCTCGTGGGAAGGTCAGGCGTGAAGAATTTGGGGTATGGATTCAAAGACACCCCCGGTAGCTGTGCTGATGGCGGTTGTGCAATTTCATTTGCTTGGGGAATTTCCGCTTCTCTGGAGTGCGTTGATGGATGGATTTCTTCGGTGTGTGGGAACAGTTCTCTTGGGGTTAGGTCTGTTGAAGAATTTTTCTTTTTCGGAGAATATCCTGCGATGGGTGACTGTATAGCTTCTGGTGTCGGCATTAAGGATTCTCGTGTGACCTTTGGCTGCAATATCACAGAATGTCTGGATTGAGGTGTTTCTTCCTTCTCTGTTTTTTCGGGATTTTGGTCGGTGGAGCTCGTCAATTCTGAGATTTCGTCGGTTGAGTTGATTAGGGTTTTGGACTGGTTTTGCAACTCGGCCATCTTCTTCTCGAATTCTTGACAGGATTCATTCAATTTTTCTTTAAATTCTGGACCCAGAGTGGTTCTTCTCATTTTGTAGAGTTGTAGCAGCTGGTCTAGAAGTGGCTCTAGGGGTTCCTGGAATATTTCCTCATCCCTTTCCGAGATTTTCTCCACATACTCGTAGAATTTTTCCCGGTTTCGTTCCATTCGTTCCATGTCCAATGGTGGACATGGTGTGGGATTTGATTCTTCATCCTTTTCCTCTATTCGAATTTCAGCTTCGATTATAGAAGGCGTTTCCTCGTCAGTGGAGTTTTGATCTGTGATGAATGCGTCATCCTCCAACTTTTTGTCCGTTGGGATTCCTTCAAGGGAATTTTCTAGTTGATTTTCTTTTCCTTGGTCTTCCATTTCGACAGGTATTATTGATGGTTCATCCTGTAGTGGTGGTTCTTTGGATTGAGTAGGTGTTGG